GGAGCAGCTAAGCGGCCTGGTCGACGCCTTAGTGGTGTGTCTACTGTGGCTTCGAATGCTCCTAACACAGAGTTCGAGAGCAACGGAGTTTCCGCTCAGCGTCCCGACACTTCTATGAGTGTGCGACCCGACACTGCGATGAGTGTCAGAACTCAGAGTGCTACGTCTTTGAATGTTAAGAAGACAAGAGCTCCAGCAGTCAAGAAGGAAGCCCCCAAAACCACCAGAATTGTGAAGAAGCCTGCCGCAATGGCGAAACCCTCTCCTCCTCAGCAGGCTGGACCATCTCAGCCGCCTCAAGGAAAGCCGAGCCCAGCTGCTGCATCGGAGGACGATATGGACAAGTTGACTGCCGGTATGAAGAAGGTCAAGATCAACTTGATCACGAAAACACAGAAAGAAGAGCGTGCCAAGGCAGCACAAGCAGCTCAAGCCGCTCAAGCCAAAGCTGCCACACCCCCCACAGCCGAGGAAGCAAAGACGGATTTCCCGTTTGAAGCACAGACGGCTTACTCGCCGGTGGCACCTCCGATCGTCACACCTCCGCAAGACGAGGCTTTCGCTACACCGCCAACGCAGCCTCCGGTTTTTGAAGCCCCGTCACCGCCCGCCGTTCCAGAAGGCCGGCCTGAAGTCTCAACTCCAGTGACGGAGCAAATGCCTCTCGTCGCCACCCCTGATCCTCGTTCAGTAGAGCTCCCCGCCAGCTCACCCGCCGCGATGTCGCCAACCGTAGCAACACCCTCATCGGATGTTTTCATCAACTACCAACCGGAGGGTCCTCCACCTGTGTCCGTAACGCCGTCAGAACCCCTGAAGTGGATGCCGCCCAACACCAACACGCCCGTCAAAGCCTCGCCGTCTAAGCCATCGCCAGCCAAGCTGTCTTCAGCCAAACCGTCGCCCATGAAGAAGTCTCCGGTAAAGATGATGCGTGCCGATCTTCCAGTCTTCACCTCCACATCTGCGATCCCCTTTGCGCCGCCGGGAATGAGCGCCCCGTCTGAGGTCGAGCAAGAGCCGGCAATTAAGGCCGATCCGGAGGAGCCGGCAAAGTCGGTTTGGGATATCCCGGAAACTCCGCAGAGGCAATAGTGCGCTGTGCCACAGACCGAGAGGTTTGGGGTGGAAGCACTGACACAGATTTGGGCCGTCACAGTCTTCGAAAAGGCATTTGTTTACTTTGTCTCCTTTGCCCAACGCTTTTCTCCAAGTATAAAACTTTGTTTTCTGCGAATCTGGCTTTTTGAGCCGTGTACTTGGAGTTCGCCGTCTTGATACCCTCTCGTCCGAGTTATTCTCTTTCTTCTTGATCCTCTGATTCCTCTATAAATACTATAACTCTCTTTTCTTGTACTGATCATGTACTTCGATGCTGCCATTGAAGCCATTGGAGACGATGTCAACGTAGAGCCATGATTGGCCGAAATGCCTATAAATGTGACATAGAACCAAGATCCTATGTAACCCCGTGGGCGTCCGCGGACGCGGCCAAAAGCCTTGGCATGCGGAGACTTGATTTACAAAGTAGCGGGATTATGCGCGTCAACGTGGACGGATCAACGTCAGCGATTTGCTGCGGCTACCCGCCGGGCCCCGAAATTTTTCTTTGGTGGGGAACCCATTACAGCGCATGTTTTACGCATCCCAGACTTAGTTGGCCGATTGACCAGGTTCTTATCTTGAGGTAATCGGAGATACTCGAGTCCTGTTACACATATTCGGCCGGGATATCGCATCTCATCTTCAGACATTTTGTAGATTCTGTATCTCACCGCTCACTCAATTTGTGAAGCGTGGCCCAGCTTAGTTGGAATTTTCTCTTACTGTCTCTCAAACTACGTCACCAGCCAGCCCTTTGCGAACTTAGCCAGCAACGGGGACCTGACTCATCTCGAGTTCGTCTCATCTCATCTCATCTTATTTCCTCTCACTTAGACCAACCGAATACACACACGCACAACTCATCGACTCACCATGGCGTTCACGATGCACTCCCACTCGGGGCAATTCTGCCCCGGCCACGCAAAGGACCAGCTCGAGGCCATCATCCAGCATGCCATCAGCATCGGGTACAAGACCATGGGTCTGACGGAACACATGCCCCGTCTAGAGATTGGAGACCTCTACCCTGAAGAGGTAAGAACACACTTCAGTCTCATCACACACCCCCCAAACATAGCTCTCATGAGAAACTTAATAATCCTGACCAAAATCTTCACCAGCTCGAAGAAGGAGACCCCCAAACAGCCCTCTCCATCCTCGCCCCCCGCCACGAAGCCTACCTCGCCGAAGCCCAGCGCCTGCGCGAAAAGTACGCCCCGCAGATCGACCTCCTCATCGGCTTCGAGGGGGAGTGGTACCGCCCGGCCTACGGGCCGTTCATCAAGTCCCTCGCGTCCCACCCGGCGGTGGACTACTTCATCGGGTCGCTGCACCACGTCAACGCCATCCCCATCGACTACAGCCGGGACATGTACGTCGAGGCGATGAAGTCGGCCGGCGCCGACGAGGAGAGCATGTACGCGCGGTACTACGACCAGCAGTACGAGATGCTGACGGCGCTAGAGCCGCGCGTGGTGGGCCACTTTGACCTCGTGAGGCTCATGAGCGAGGATCCGGGGAGGAACGTGAGGCAGTGGAAGGGGGTGTGGGAGAAGATTGTGAGGAATCTGGAGGTCGTCAAGGGGTATGGGGGCTTGTTGGAGTGTAATAGCAGTGCGTTGAGGAAGGGTCTTGATGAGCCTTATCCGTGCCGACCTATTGCAGAGGTAAGTTCTTTCCCCCCTTCTCCCCTCCTGTGTTCTTGGTCCTTTCTCCAAAGCTCAAAAGACATCTTGGGTGGTGTAGCCAATGATCTCTTGCGACTAACTCCGTATCACAGACATGGTTGGCGATGGGCGGCCGCTTCACATTCTCAGACGATAGCCACGGCATCGCACAGGTCGCGACGAATTACAAACGCAACGTGAAATACCTCGAGAGCCTGGGCGTGAAGGAGGTCTTCACGTTTGAGCGGGGGCCGGTGGAGGGGGTCAATGGGGATGCTAAGGCCGTGTTGCGGGAAAAGGGCGTTGGGTTGGCTGCGTTTCGGGAGAACTTCAACTAGAGGAGATGAGGCGCAATAGAGTTGTAGACGAAGAAGAAGCGAGAGAAAAGAAACGAGCTGGTGTAGAGGGTAGATGTAGAGGTGTGAGATAGATGAACGTCTGGCAAAAGGCCAAGAATATTCGGTTCCATTCTGTTGGTCATGGTGTAATTATTTTAGCACCAACTGTCTCCCTGCGATCGATGTTCAAAGTCATTGAGCCATTGCTCATCAACATCCTTCCGGTGTATTAAATGCAGAAAGATATGAAACGCGTCAACTGAGGCGCCGGCGATAATTCATACTATGAAGAATTGAGTCCCAGAACTAGAACACAACTGGGTTCCACCTCAGAACATAACACTCAACATCCTTCTTCAATAATTACGTGAAGTCGTCAGAAGAGATCATGCTGTAACTAGAGCGTCCTGACCACTGTCTCCATCACAAACCCTAATTTCTCCCACAAAACCCCAAAAACCGAGTTCCTGTGCAACATCACCAAAACACCACCACAACCAAAACAAACCTTACGATAGCTTCACAGAAGGCGCAAAAAGAATGACCCCCACCCGATTTGAACGGATAACCTGTAACGCTACCACGCGTTAGCGTGGGTGCGTTACTAACAACAATCGCACGTACCACCTGCGGTTCAGTAACGCAACAGCAGGTAGGTGTATCCCTTGGTTCGGCAAGAAAAAACCATGGTGTCCAAAATCGGTTTCTTGGTGGTCTTGGTGGTATTGGGGGAAATGGTGATTTTGAGATTTGGATACCTAGGGATATTTTTATTTCCTCCCAACCTTTTTGGGGGGAAAAATCAAATAAAAGGAATTAGCTATATTTTTCTATAAAAAAAAACTATAAAAAAAAAAAAAAAAACTCGAATCATTCTGACACGACATTGACCAGAGATATTTGGCATCATTGACTGGGTGATGTGAGGCATGGCGATATGCCTCTTCCTCAGTCCTGGTCCAGTGCAAACAAACCGCGATCTTTTTTTTTTTTCTTGTTTTTTTTTCCTCTTTTTCTTGCTGCTTCCCTCTTCCCGGAAAAAAAACAACTTCGAACCCAGCCAGGTCTGTGCTTCCTGTGTGTATGAGACTGAGGTGATGTGCCTTATGTCATTGCGGTGCCGTCGAGTCGTTCTTTCCGCGTCGAGATGGACATGTCGATTGTTGAGATCCATGGATGGCGCGGCGGGACGGGACGACCCAGGCATGGACTTACCTTGCCCAGTGCTCTCGGATAATCTACGGATATCTTCGGATGGAGATACCTACTCTCGTCACCCGGCACTGAGGACGTACCCTGGAGACTCAATGCCCATCTCACTCGTTAATCCCAGTGCCGAGAATTGTCCTTCAACAAACACCACACCACACCGCCGAGCACCAAACGACGATCCAGCCTCGGCCAATCCTCTGCGTCCCACTGCTTGCCCATTATCGGGCCCCCAAGAATACTTCATTGATGGCTTCATTCACCCAACCGAGAGGAAAACCTCAAAAAAAAAAAAAAAAAAAAAAAAAGACTAGTCGATGGCAAGCGTTCCGACCGACAACCCAGTCCTTGGACCCCGCGGGGCACCGCTACCAGCCAGTGCTGGGATTGCAAGTCCAACGCCGATGGGGAGTCATGATCATTGTTACGTGCAATCGGCCATTCCATATTCATGTTCCAAGTACCGGCACGTTTGCTTCACATACAATTTCCGTTCCACAGGTCCTCGACCTCAAGTGAGCGTCTCCCCATACCTGCCTTGCACCCTCCCCCGCCTCCCCCCTCAATGACAAGCAATGAAATTACATAATCCAGCGCAACAAGAATAACAAATTGATCCATGGCAAACGAGTGTGGAAAGAGGGAGGGTTACAGTGAGTGCGGTGGGCGGGTGGACAAGTGTTCAGTTTCCCTCTTCAGCCTCTTCACCATCATCACCATCCTCACCATCATCCTCCTCGTCGTCCTGTTCATCCCCCTGCTGATAGTCACCGTCTTCGTCGCTATCTCCAATCAGCTCGGCAATGGAACGGGAAGCCCTGGACCGCTTCTTGACAGGCTGGTCAGGGGAGGAAGAGCTAGTAGGCTGTCGCTCATCACTGTACAAGTCCACCACGGTTCTTTGCGAGTCCTTGGACAAGGTTTGGACCTGGCTCTTCTTCCGCTTGGCGGCGCTAGTATCCGACTTGAGCGCAGACTTGCCGGGCTTGGCCTGTCCGCTGGCGGCCTTGATGTCCTTGCTGAGCGAAACGAACAAGGTCACGTGCGATTCCTCCTTGAGAGTCGGCAACACGCCCTGAAGAGGGTGCTGCTCCCAGTCCTCGGCGAAGAGCTCAGGCAGTGCCTTGGTGTACAAGTGCTCAAAGAAGACTTCGGCGTCTGCCTTGGCGGTCTTGGTACGCGTTGTCAGGGGTTTCTTCTTGGAGGCGTCCAGCCACTGCTGGAACTGGTCCCGGATGAGGCCGATAAAGTCCTCACTCTGGACCAGCTCCAAGGCGACCTTGTCGTCCTCGGCCTGAGTGACGTTGCTGTTGAGTGACGTGCGTCGAGAGGAATTGTTTGAGTTGGTCCGCGAGGGCCGTCCAGCCTTGGGGAGGCTATCTCGCAGTCGCTCCGTCAGCAAGTATTCGTACTACAACACGATGGAAAACGGGAATGGTGAGAGGGGGGGGGGAGAGAAGGAAATAGGTACTGTACCTCATGTATCTAATGAGCTCCTCGAGGCGGGCCATCCGGAGCGCAAGGTGCTCTTGGTTGTTGATGATAACCTTTGATTCAGCATTGGCCAGCTGAGGATGCTCGAGTTTCATCCAGCCAATGTCCTGCTCTTCGGTATCGGTCTGGGCCTGAGCCTCGACGTTGATGGAAGAATCGGCGCCCTTGGAGAAAGAGGTCAGTCAGTTAGTATATGTAGGTTCTTGAACAACAAGTCGGCACTTGGTACTCACCTGCTCGGCACCGTCGTCCTTCTCACCGGCCGTCACAGCCTGGGTAGTGTCCTCCGGTGCAGTCACATTGTCAATAGGCTCAGGCTCGGGCTTGGAAAAACCAAGCATTAGTAGGAGACTTTCCTCACTCGCAGTGGTATATTCAGGGGACAATATCTTACCTCGGGCGCCGGACGCTTCTGAGCCGCGGTGGGCTGCTTCTTCTTGTTGTTGCCGCGCCTACCTCTATTACCAGCCATGATGGGAAAGGAACCTGTCGATTATGTATGAGGGCGAGGGTACAGTCAAAGATCAGTGTATGCCGTGAGCGTGTTGCATGAATGGAAGAGAACATCAGGGGTGCTGGGGAGTCAGGGGAATGCGTGCTATTTGAATATGTCAGAGGATGGCCAAGGTCGCTCGACTGCGCCGGGCGGTGGGAGTTTCTAGAAGTCTAGAAGTCACCGGCGACATCCTGGTGAACCAAGGTAGACGTTGACCAAGGGGGCGCAGCGATGCCTTCCACTTCTCTCCAAGGTGAGGTCTCAAAGATCCCAACCTATTGCTGCCGCGGATGCGCGCTGCCTCCGGTTAGTTGCTGCAGGTTGCCATTGCAGACCGCCTTGATTTTCCAGACCGCCAAATGAGGCGATTCGTGGTGGGCTTTGGAGTTGGCGAGATCCTAAAGGGGATCTGGCCCAAAGTTCAGACAACAACCTCAATACATCAAGGGCCTTTCTCGTGGGCTTGCAAACTTTGCCATTAAGACCTGTTCCACCACGTTTTCTACCTATTCGTAGGACTCGAGTGAAGGAAAAACTCACGCAGAGACACTTTGTCGCTCGTTGTAGGCCATGGAAATCAGGCGCCAGATAGATCAAACGGACAATCACATCTTCAAGATGAAGTGCAGTAGGCAGCTCGGCTCCCTACCTTTGTGCTTTCAACCGCTCGATGCTGCCAAAAAGACAACAAAAGGCGGGCCGTAAGTTGCCGCCTGACCAATAGCTCAAGGATGAGACAAACGGCGGTGCCCTTTTCTCCTCCTTTGGGATGTCGTGATACCGACATTCCAAGCCACTGCTGGCGATCGCTTGTAGACACATGTGAGTAATCTTCATGTCAGGCACATTTGGGTCACCTCAACGAAAGAAGCCTTTCACAAGCAAACCCGCTGGCCCCACTTGAAGTGCTATCGTGTCTTTGGTCTAGGGTATTTGCCTTGCATTATATCTTCCGGACTGGCGTTGCTGCCTTTCTACAGAGTCACTACGAGCCCGGTCAATGGCAGATAAACGACAGTCGCAGAGAAAGGGCACAGCTCAGGTCGCTTTCGAGGCTTGTAGGCTATAGGTGTCTGAAGATCTTCCCGGCTTCTTGTCCTTTGCTGCCTTGTTGGTCTCTAAGATCTCTTGCTCACATCCATATCTTTCCTCCCTTCAACTCACCTTGGGAGCAATTTGTACTTCTTCTCCCCCAAACCCCCCTTTCCTCCCCATCCCTCTTCTTCGCGCAACCCCTCGACCCTTCACACTCTCACACACCCAATCACATACACCAACAAACTCCAAGTTCTTCCAGACAAACTGCGACTCACCAAGGATCTTCAGTAGCTGCCCAGCTCTGCCAAACTTCTCGATCTAGCCGACTTCTTCGTGAGTTGGCCTTCACCCTTCCTTGCGGGCCCTTTTCGCCCGATTTTCTTGACTCATCTAACCATCCTAGGGATCGATCGCTCCGGCTTCGCGGCTTCAGACGACTTCTTAGGCGTCTACAACGCAGGCGAGACTCCACCGTCCACCCTATCCTTCACCATACACAGTCTCCTCTACACTCCACGTCCTCGCTCGGTTGCTCGCCCAACGGTGTATTGTCCATCCAGAAATGCCGTAAGTACTCCATTCAAGCAGAGCAAGTTCCCCCGAGCAAGGACTGTCAGCTGACTGATGTTTCTTTGGCAGTACTGGGTCTGCCTAGTCCTCGCAGGCCCCAAGACCCTTCCTTCCCGACTTCAGCGGAATAACAAGTCTCGAACGTGACCCAGCTTCCGGGCACTACACCATCGGACATTCGTCTTCTCCTCATCTTCCTTGGTATCCCCGGTAAGCCTTCACGAGGTCTTCTGTTGTCCTTCGCCTCTAACTTGTTCTTCAGATCCCATCTCTTCAGACTGCATACCTTTAGATCGCATCCAGCAAGCATGGCCGACAACTCGGGACGTCGCCGACAGAGAGGCGAGGCCAAGTCAGCTTGGCTCGACCGTCTGCGCAACACCAATTCTGCCGCCGGCGACACGAACGAGTTCTTCCGGCTGATGCAGGATGCGAAAGAATCCGATGTTGCTGCAGTCGGCTTTCGTCACGCAAGCGTCGCGACCCAGAAGCGGCAGGACCGAATCCTTGAGGACTACCGCTTCTTTGTTCGCCTTTTCAAGGAAATTGCAGACGATATCACGGAGAAGGAGTTGGACGAGATCTGCTTCCCATCCCCCACTGAGGGTGAGCAGCCTGAGAACTTCAATGGCCTGTGGCTTCTGCTCCGCCCATACATCTACTTCGTCGCCGAAGACAAGATTCCTCGATCCAACGCCCACACAATCATCTCATACACGACACTTATCCAGTATCGTGAAGCCCTCCAATTCTGGGTTCCTCGAAAGTACAATGAACGAGGAATCAAGCCGCCCATGGGTCGACACGTCTTCAACAAGATGACGGAGCTTTTACGCAAATTGGCAGTTGAGAAGAAGCTCATTCGATTCAACTCTGGACCGGATGGGAAAGTCAGTATCGGTCTAGACGACATTCGTCAGCTCATCGACATGGATGTCAAGGAGACGGTGAGCATTGAACTTTCGGAGCAGCACCATTTCGCCCTCTGCCTCGCAAGAACTTGTGCCCTGCGTCCAGGAGCCTTGGGCCCTTCAGTCAACGACAAGGTCCAGACTGGCAGAGTCACGGAGGAACTGCCCTATTTGGCATGGAAAGACTGCAATCTTCAACGTGGTTCGGAAAAGGGCATGTGGACTCTTCAACTGACGATTCGCAACCTCAAGACCAACAAGGAAAAGGACGCCGAAGGTGCGGTTCGGAACAAGACCATGCACTTCCGCCTCAGTTCCCCGCAGCAGCAGTCCAATTTGGCACTTTCAGTTCCGCATCGTCTACTTGTCATCGGCCTTCGACGCGGCGTCTTTGAAGGCTTGTCAACGATCGACGATCTATTCGATTCCGAGCTGAACCGAATCTCCATCAAGGACGAATTCCGCGACAGGCCTGTGCTTCTTGCAGGAAAGCAGCGTGGTCTAGGACTCAGGGATGACCACACTCCCCTACCGGCCAACTCTCTGACCAGGTGGATTTCACTCCGCGGTGAACGAATGGGATGGCCTGGCCAGGTGACATTCTACAGCATTCGTCGCCTCAGTGCAGCGGCGTATGTCAAGGCTCTTGGTGTAGATAACGCGCGCATTCTCATGTCGCACGAGCCGGATTCACGCACCCTTGAGCGCTTCTATGTTGACCGTACATCGATCACGGACGTATCAGCCATTACCCTCGGTGAAGAGGTCGGCAGTGGTAAGGCCGATGAGTTCATGCAGCTCGAGATGACTTCGGGGGTTACACTCGACAGGCTCCCTGCTGAGAAGATCATCGAAACGTACGGTCCTGAACTCAATGCTCTCTTCCGGCAGTATATCCGCGCCGATGAAAACTATGCGATGCTGAGCCGAAAGGAGAAGAAGAATCGCGATCGGGTGCTTCGTCGCAAGGCGTTCCTCGTCCTGCGCAGAGAGATCGTTTCACTTTATCGCAAGAAGCAGACAACAGCCGAACGAGCCATGCGAAAGGAGGAGCTTCTAGGCAGGGCAACGCTGTTCAACAAGAAACTTGTCGAGGCTTATGCCGAAGAGGATGGCGACGACAACAGCGAAGACGTTGCCAATTTGGGTAGCGTTGACTTCGATTTGGAGTTTGAGCAGAGCACTGAGAATGTCCAGGGGGGCGGCGCCGAGGTTGTGCATGACGTCGAGGAGGACGCTGAAGACATGGAAGGGGCTGTTCGTGACAGGGAGATCACTGTGCCTGAGGAGCTTCAATTCACCGACGCTGCCATCAACTACGTCGAGGCAGCCGCCGCGATCCCGTATGAAGTCGCGGCCAAGCTCGCCATGAGACTCATGCTATTCCACGAGGAGGGTCAGTACCAGCGCCAGGGTGATGTATCTTGCTCTCGGTGTCAACAAGACGACACCGTCTCCGAGGACAAGAAAGCGAAGACTTACACTGTTGGTCACCTCCGGGAGCACGTGGCGTCCGATTTCCATACCCCGTACAAGCAATGGATCCGGCGCGCCCACAACAACCGTGACGGCCGTTCCTACTACTGCCCTTATTGCATGCAGGTGCACCCTGAAGGAGACTCAACTTCCTTCAGCCAGCTCAAGTTTCTCCTACGCCACATCCGAAAATGCGACCTGAATCGGATCGCGGATGCCCATGATTGGACGACGACCGAGTTCGCCAAAAAGCACGAGGAGCTCAAAAAGGCAGATGGATGGTACGATGATGATTGGGAGGTCAACCAGTCCACAAATATTGAAAGGTCAGTCCGCACGCTCAGTCTCTTCTGTGATATCTTCTGTAGTCTTGCTCACGTCGTTCCAGAGGCACTTCCCGCCGGGCTAAGACTGTGCTCGCTGCGCGCAAGACCCGGGCCAAGAAGAAGCTCCCTGAGCCGATCCCCATCGCAGGGCACCTGGGACTGCTCTGGGCTGCGCCGGGCCAGATCAAGGAAGAAGTCGGCAGCGGCGTCATCTTCGCTCCCGCTCCGGGTGAGTCTGGTTTCAAGCCGACGAATCCAAAGTCCAGCGGTCCCTATCCCGGCGTTGTCTTCGGCCCCACACCTGGTGAGCCTGGTTTCAGGCCCACGTATCCAAAGTCTGGTGGACCTTACCCCGGTACTATCTTTGTGCCATTCCCTGGGACCAAGGGCAACATGCCGGGAGACGGTTATCTGATGTCCGATTGGGTTAAGGGCGTGGGGCCGTCTGATCTAGCCATCGCTTTGGCTGTCCACCACGGACTGTAGAGGAAGGAGGCTGTTGGCTTTCACGGTTGATCATGGTATTAATTGGCTTGCGTGAGAGGAAAATATGTTTAATACGGTGGTAGCAACCCTTCTAGATTGGCTGCAAAAGGGACCAACATTGTTGTCAGCTTGCGAATAGACAGAACCCCCCAAGCTTCCGTTCATTCATTCATACCTCCTTCTGTCTCCATGTGAATGTAGGGACAATCGGCCCAAGATATCCCTCATCTGACACTTCGAAGCCACAAAGGCAAAAAGAGCAGCGAACTGACACGCCTATTGAACATACAGGGCAAAAGAAATGACCCCCACCTGATTTGAACAGATAACCTTTCGATCTGGAGTCGAACGCGCTACCGTTGCGCCAGAGGGCCGTGTTGTCTGATTCCGGATCTCGAACTGGAGAGGCGGAGTTGACGATGCAGTCGGGAAATGGGTCTATGGATCGGAGCGGGGTGGAGTGGCGCCTGCAGAGTCGGAAAACGGAGTCTCTGGAAATGAAAGTGGGTCTTGTTTACTTCGCAAAGGTCAAGTGTGCCACCTTCATGCAGGACAAGAAATGCAGAAACGCACTCTCGGGTAAGACGCTGCGGAACGATTGGCGAGTCAAGACTCTCTGCATGATTCGAGTATTAAGTCCACTTGAGCAGACCTTGGAGCCTCAATCTATAATTACATATGGCAACTTCGACGTTTGGTCCAAACTAAGGTACAATAAATGAGACTTCGCAGGAGGAGACAGCACTGTGCTTTTGGGACTTGACTTTGCTTGTCATCCGAAGCTACCAAGCTAGGTCAGGCAAATCACCAGTAGGCCTATCAAGAGCCTCTTGGTCCAATTCAGGCGAATCAGACCTGGCTTTCAGCCAGCAGGCTTATCGACTTACACCGAAAGTAGTGAAATCTCATCTAGCTGTTGTCGATGCACCCAACTAGTCTCAGCCATTGCCGCTTTCGGTTCAAGTGTCTGTCACTTTTCCAGCACATTTTCTTCTCCTGCCTGAAAGCTTGCCCGAACAGAAAACTACACGATCTTGAAGCCAGACTGTAGAGCAATTACGAGAGAGGAGTGGTCGGCCTTGGTATCTTCACGCAGGCTGGCGTCTCTTCGAGCGCTCTTTGTCAAATTTTGCAAGATCCTTCGACTCATCCTTTGCATCGACAAGACCAATGAGAACTCACAGGTGCGCAACAAGATTTAGAATCCCACCTTTCTACTAGCGTTCCCAGAGACCCGGATCTCATCCGAGAAGAACTAAGACAGGGGGCTTGCGGGAAGCGCGTTTGCATTTTCGGACCGTGACATGGCATGCATCACTTGAGCCGGATGCGGCCAGTCTCAATGACCTCATTGGACTGACATGGTTGTAAGTCAGCCCTAAGGAAATAGACTTGTGCTTTAACAGGAACAAGCTTTTAGCCCGTCAAGCCCGTCTGCATCTCTTATCCCAATAGGTGCTCCCGGACACAAGTGATTCAGAAGAGAGACGAGTAGTTGTTTCTACGAGACAAAGTTGTTCCATTTGCGGGGACCGCCTGATCGTACCTTGTCGATGAAGCCGGGGGTGATGCATCGGGACAAGAAGACCATGGCGAGGCGTCTTCAAGTACCTATACTACACTACAGGTAGCTCACTGGCACAGCTGGTAGATAAAGCAAGCTTTGCCTACCTTCTCAAGATAGAGCTCGAGCAGCTTTCGGCTCCTCATATCTAACCTGTGTCCTGATAGCCTAGGAAGCAAAGTACACCATGCCCGTGATAAATCGCCAATCTCTTGGCGGCGTCCTCCTCTTGGCCGGCCTAGCCTCCGCCCAGGGACAAGGAGACGTCGACCCCTTTGCGCCCGTCTACACAAGCTGTCCCTTAGGCTTGGCAGTGCGGTCAGCTTCAGAGGTAACTTGAGGTTTTGCCCCCCATGAACTTTTAAGCATAGCTGTTGACTTTCTTCTGTAAGGGACTCTCGCGCTCAGAATCATCTTGGAGGGTAAGCCGCGGCGAAAAGGTCATCCCCGCGCTCAGCTCTTACCTCACATTGGCGAATATTTCTGGATTCGATGTCCAAGGCTACATTCAGCGTCTCAATACCTCCAACTATCCTGTCGTTGGTCTCTCCGTCTCCGGAGGAGGCACTCAGTCGGGTGTTGGAGGTCTTGGGATATGGCAGGCTTTTGATGCCCGCAACTCGGCTGCCGTTGCTGCTCGCACGGGTGGTTTGACGCAGGTTCTGTCATATATCACTGGTCTAAGTGGTGGAGGTGCCTTGACCGTGAGCACACTGTAAGTTCTGCCGACTGTTCTCTATCTGACTGCGTCTTCCCCTGTCCAACGAATGTAGAGTGCTTACATGTTACGCAGAGCTGCCAACGATTTCATATCCATAAGTGCTCTAAGAAAACAAATCAACTTCACTGTCGATTACACCCTGGGTCCGGACGGCAACATCACCACCTATCTGACAGATATCTTTGAAAATGTCGGCGTAAAGGCAGAGACAGGACTTCCTGTCTCCGTCGCCGACGCCTTTGGCCAGTTCTGGGCAACTTATCTCCCAGAGAACCGTACTTATGGCAACTACTCTGATCTTGCCCAATCAGGAACCTTCTTCTCTTCAGGCGAAGCCCCAATGCCCATCATAGCTCTCTCTGAGGTCATCCCCGGACAGTCACCCACAATCGGTGGCATCATGTGGCCTGGAAGGAACAACACCAACGGATTCAATCTGACTTCCTACGAAGTGACGCCCTTTGAGTTCGGAAGTTGGCGAGGCGGAAGAATCCAGGCTTTCATGCCGACAATGTACCTTGGAACCTCCATGTCCAATGGCACGGCCCAGAACAGCAGTGAGTGCGTTCAGGGGTTCGACAAGTTCACCTTCATCCAGGGGTCTACAGCCGACGCTTTTGACGCGTGGTTCATCGACGACTGGTACGATACTCCAATATTTGCCAAGCGAGCGCTCAATACAGGCCCGCCAAACACCTCGGTCATCGTGCCTCCCCTTCAGTTCGAAGACGACGGGCGTGTGATCCTCGTCAACCAGACGGCCGAGTCCTTCAACCAGACGTTCAACGAGTCTCTGTGGGCCACCTACCCGAACCCCTTTGAGAACTACAACCCCGCCATGCAAGGGATCGACGAGCTCCTCCTCGTTGACGGCAGCCTCGGCGGGGAGACGAACCCCATCCGGCCCCTCATCATCCCCGAGCGCCAGGTCGACCTGGTCATCGTCTACGAGGCCTCCTCAGACGCGCAGTACAACTGGGTCAACGGCACCAACCTCGTCAACACGGCTCAGTCGGCGACCCAGGGCAACATTCCCTTCCCGCGCATCCCCGACGTCGCGACGCTGGTGACGCAGAACCTGACCAAGCAGCCCACCTTCTTCGGCTGCGACGCCGCCACGTCGCCGCCTACGCCGCTGGTGCTCTACCTGCCCAACTCGCCGTGGTCCGGCTACAGCAACTTTTCCTTCTTCAAGTCCTCCTTCACGGACAACGAGTTCGACCTCACCGTCGACAACGCCTTTAACCTCGCAACCTACGGCAACGGTTCGGTAGATGCAGCGTGGCCCGCCTGTCTCGCCTGCGCGACGATCCGCGGAAGTCTGATCAGGGCTGGTGTCGACCTGCCGGAGCAGTGTCAGGAGTGCTTCCGCCGCCATTGTTGGAACGGGCAGGTTGCCAATCGTACCATCACGGCGGACGATCTCGATCCCAAGCTGAGACTCAATTCGAGCCTGTCATTTTCAGAGTGGAATCAGACATACTGGAGCAGTCAGACGACCACGGGTGGTGCTAGCGGCGGAGGAAGTGGCGGGAACAGCGGCACCGGGACCGGAGGCAATGGCGGTGGTGGTGCCTCATCCACACCCTCGGCTTCGGCCACAACGAGCCCCTCTGGTGCATCGAGTTCGGCCGAACTTGCACGAGTGGCGACTGCCGTGACTGTGGCTTCTCTTGTTGCTCTGATAGCATTGCTATAGGCTAGAATTATGGGGTATCATTTCTACAATTCTTTTTTACAGATAATAAGTCATTTCAAGAACTAAAAAAGACGTTGTGTTTGTGTGGCATTAGCAGCTCAGGGGCAAACGGCCCGTAGTCAGAATGTGTCTGCTCCATTCCAAGTACATCCGCAAAGATATCTCTTGCTTGTGTGCGTAGTAGAGGCATGTTGCTCAGTAGACCCTGGGCAAGATGCATCCAGTCCGTTACTCCAGAGAGCTTCAAGCGAAGAGCCTATTAGTGGTGTGAGTCATCAAGGTCGTACTTCCAAACAGAGGAAAAGGACTGCGTCCGATATGATCTCACCTCAAGCTGTTCCTTGACATCATTGTCTTCCTCTAAGGGTGCCGTCACTCTCATGACTCTCTGCGTATGGACGACGTATTTGGCAATTTTGTAGATCTTGGAACAGCCGTCCAGCACGTTGTTCAGATCACATCCTTCTTCCTTCAATCCTGCTAGGAATTGAATAAATTGGCCCAAGACCCTGATATTGAGATGGGCCTCTGATCCTGTGGGTTCCTCGAGTGCTGACCATAAGAGGATTAAGCTGGCCATGATGGGATAGCCGAGAAGAACCCTATCAGAAGTGTTAGTGAGCTATATAGAAAATCAAGAATATTTGAAACTGACCATATATTCACATAAGGTTGAGGTGGCATCACCCGTAGAAGATCAATGATTGCCCGAGCCGCCGACGTACACTTGGAGTGTGACTGCTCTATGCTGGGAAAGGCGCCCCTATTCACCCAGTCTGAGTACAGCGAGCATGATGGCTGCACGCTCGTCGCATTCTTAAGTCGCGCCAGGTTGATGTTAGTCTTAATCAGAGTGCTAAAATAGATAAAATGCAACAGGGCGGTGTGCATGTCCACCGCTCCCGTCGTCGAGGGGGTAGAGGGGTCCGGCCTCGATTCTTGCGGGAGCGAGCACTTCCACTCTTCCAGCTCACAATTGGACAGTATCATCATCATGTGATGTTCCGTACCTGACT